CTTAAGGGGAAAATGGATGAGTGAAACCTGCTTTGTGCATGGAAAGATGGTTATGACTGCTGGAGAGAGGCCAAGCTCTTTGTCCAGTGCCTTTTTACTACTCTGGCAAGTTTCAAAAATACAAAATAGCATGCCTTTAGGAGGTTATATATTTATTCTTCTTTAAGCAAAGAGAAAAATGGGTGTGGGAAAGGTCCAGCAACTTTTCTCTGGTTTAGATCCTTGAAAGATTTATGCCCCAAACAAATTGTAAGTAAAAGCTGTAGGATCAACTGAAATTCTTAGGTTTTTTTAAACAGTACAGAGTGTAACCAGAAAGTCTTGTCATTCCTGGCTCACCTCTTTGTGGTTTAAGAAAGGGTTAGAGCATCTCTGATCATGTGATGAATAATGAAACCAAAAGCATGTAATTTGATTTTGCTCACACACTGCTTGTGTCAGCACTGTCACATGGAATTCTGACAGCTGAAGTAGTCAATCCATTGTGCTGACATTGCTTACCTAGGCAGAAAAATGTCCATCTTTGTTCTCTTCAAGCTGTTGGCCCAGAGCGTTATGGTTTTGGCAGAAAGATGAGACTCAATCTGGGACAAAGGTGTTCTTTTGTGGCTGGGAAGCACTAGGAACATGCTGAGTTTCTCCCCCAGGTAGGGTAACTCGACCACACTGAAAGCCTCCAGAGCTGCAGTCTGGAACTGGCCTGTGGGTGGGCAAAGAGAGATCTTATTTCATTATTGAAGTAGGAAGAAAACCCCAAACCCACAACCCTTGCTGGGCTCAGCAGATAGTTCAGAGCAGCTGTGGTGGGATGTTAGGAGTGGTCTCCAGCACCTGGGGCTCAGGTTGCTGTTAGCTCACAGCAATCTCACCTGAACACAGCTGAGTGTGTCAGAGACACAGATATCTTGGCAGACCAGTGCCAATGCCACTGATGGTACCTGAAGAGCCACTTCAGCAGAGCATGGGTATTTTATTACTTTTCCATATAACAGCTGTCCTCCTTGCTCAGTTTGGGAACAAAAACCCCAAAACTACCAAGGCAATGACAGCATTTGTGATGACTTTTTCCACAATGTATGTTCTTTGAATAAACTTACAATTTTATATTTTTCACTAAAATTTTACTACAGCAACTAGGGATTACAAAAACAAAATGCAGAGCATCCTACTTGGTTAATTGAAACTGACTTTGGCTTATGTTTAGATCTTTACTATCTTTAAAAATCACTTTTAACCTTATTTCAAGGAAAAAAAATAGTTCAACTAAACAAGAGCTTATTTAAACATTAACTATTTATTTTTTTATTTAAGCGCCAAATTTATTTTTTAAAATCTAGGCACAGCGATCTGTCACAATCAGATGAAGGTCATAAAATGTAGTCTCAAAAGTAAAAGCTGGAGAGCTTCCAAACTTGCAATTAGTTTTACAGCAATTTGTAACAGCCATTTAAAAGTACCATTTTCATCCCATATGCCAAAAACCAATTAATCCAGGCATTTCTAATGGGCTCTCTTATACAGTAGAACAGATTTGGCTGTCACAATTTTGCTTCCTTATTTTTTTCATCTGAGAATCCAATAAGTAGCATTTCAGGAACACTCAGCAACAGTTAGCAGGCCAGGAGTCAAATACAATTTAACTACAATGTGCAAGTGAAGGTCTTACTGCCTTTACTGCAGGCCATCCAAAATATTAAATCTACATCTCCTTCACCCAGCTGTAGCAGTTGTATCTTCAAGGGTAGATGCTCACACTGTTTGAGTCAGTAGATGTAAATAACTGTATATAGACTGCTCATGTTCATAATACCTAAATATTTGGCAATAAATACATAGCTATAGGATGTCTCAAATACTTACTGTACAGTGTTTGTTAGTTTTGCAGATATGGACTAGGTATGATTAATTAAGTGTTGATTTTCTGCTAGATTAAATTTTAGGCTCTTAGATCAACCCTCCTGCCTTGCAGTCTGGAGACAGCACTGCTCTGTTAAAACCAGCTTCCAGCATGTGGATCATTTGCTGGGAAAAGATGTTCTGGTTTCCAATGGGCAGGCAAGGAAGATTTGTGTTTGCAGTGCACTGGATGTGAGTGGTACAATTTGTGGGCGTGCAGATATTTTGAAGTCAGCACATTCTGCATAAAGGTTATACAGTCCTTATTTATTAATTAGAAAGAAAATTAAAGACTTTAGATTATCGAGTCAGAACATTTAATGTTCGTTGCTTGAACTAATTTTGAGCATCCCATAAGGATTACACGTATGCTAAATTAGAATTCAAATGATGTTAACAAATTGCTTGTAAAGATGAATATGTAAAATAGTTGTGGTGTTTAAGAAGTGTGTGTGAACAGTAATGTTGATATTTTCTCAGTGCAGTTTTACTTGTCCCCAGGCTGGTTTGTTCTGAGTGGCAATATTTAAAGGATAAACAATGTTGTAAATGCTGCAATTGATAACAGGCCACAGCTTATCTTTTTCACTGTGTTTTGGATCCTGGTGGGACACAGCTTGTATAGTTTAATAACGAAGGAAAGTCATCTCAGTCCTCTGCTTAGTTGTAGTGAGCCAGTCTTTTGCAATAATTTTAAACTGATTTGTTAGAAATGTTTCTGGATTTTCTAGTGGCAAAGATTGAATTGGCCCAAACAAATCTGACAACCAACAATTTAAAAGCAAATTTTAAATGATCCCTTCTATTTTGGCTTTCCTCAAAAGTCCCTCCTGTTGCAGAGAGTTCACACATTTCAAGTCAGATGAAATGTAATCCAAGTATTTTGTCTTTCCTTTTCTGTGCAAAAACGTAGTGCTTTAGGTACCTACTTAAGGATGATAGGATGGACTTCCTTGTGTTTAGGCAAGTGGTCAGAAGAGCACAGCAAATTATTTCACATCAACTTTGCAAGGACTCTGGAGCAAATGTATGCTCAGACAATGCAGCTCATCTGTGGAATTCCTGGTAATTCCCTTTACCTGAGATCTCTACTTGTACAAGCACCAGCAGCCCCCTGCCTTCTGTCATTTAATAAAATGGGGCCTGAATGATCACCATCCCAGAATATGAGGATAACTTGGATGCGGAATTGCAAATGAATCAGCAGAGATTTTTAATAGCCTGAGGATTCAGTTGTTTCCCATTTCTAGGAAACAGGAGTACATTTGTAAGAAAAAGAAGGCAATCTGGGAAACTTTAGGTCTGTCTTTGAGAAGCTGTAGGACATACTCTGGAGAAAAGAATAATCGGGTCACAGAGACAAATGGAAAGTGAGATGAATTGCAATATCATGTAGACTGGCCAATAAAAACATTAACTTTTTTTAAATGTTAACTGATTTGATAAAAAGGCATAAATCCAGCCATCTAGTTTCAGGTAAAAACATTAAACATGGTTTCACTGTGCCACTATTTACAGGTATAAGTGGTGGCACTTAGAACCAGAAAGGAAAGGAAGCAAGCAGCCACTTGAAGGGGAAGCTGCAATGAACTAAGGCACAAGATGTTGACGAGGGTCACTAGCAGCTTTCCAAAGTATTGTCAATGCTCAAGACTTTTATCAAGGACAATCAGTGAGACTGCTGTGAAGACTGGAGTAATGGAAACAAAATGGTGGTTCAAAAACACACAAAGAAATTATATCCTTCTGGAGATTTCCTCCCCCTTGATTTACCTAGGAAAAAAAGTGCCAAAAGGAAAAGTCGGTTCTGCAACACACTGTGCAAGGTATTTTTAAAAAGACATAGAAATTGTGAAAGTATTTTATCAATCATGTGTATGCTCTCATTCATAATTTTGTATACATTCCAGGTCATTTATTTTCACAAAATATTAATTTAAATTGGAAAAGTGCAAAAAAAGAAGTAGTAGAGAATTAGGAGCATTTGGTTTTTGAATAGTTTAGTAGAGCCTGGCATCATCTTAGCTATCAGGAAATTAAGAGAAAACTTGGTGACTTGCAATTAGGTTTGAGAGTAAACATTGAAGCTGAAGAGAAAATATTTAACTTAAAAGATAAAGCAGGCAGGATGTTAAGAGATAAAAATCTGTCTTGAAAAGATTTAGATATGGAATTTGAAAGGTTTTTACCAAAGTGCAGTTCTGAAATTTGGACTAGGAGGGAAAAGAGCTTTTTATATTTTGAAAGAGATTGTACAGCTAACTGGCATAATTCCTGGTGACAGAAAATTAAGCCTGCAGCATGAGTCCTTCTGTCACAACCCACATATATCAAGCCTTTGAAAGTAGCCTACACTTATTCAAATATTATACAAATAAAAGATTGACCTATATTTATACTGTTTTAAGCCCATGCTGAGATCATCCACTGATTTGGTATAAATGACATAAGAATTTCCTTCTTTTTTCTAGAATTTGTGCCTGAAGATCTGCAGTTTTTCTCTAAAGCCTTGGAGGCAGATTGTGACCAGATCTCCAGGTCTGCAGTGCTGGTGCTCTTGGTTATGCTCTGCTCCTTCTGGTGCTCACACATTCAAGGGAGAGTGGTTTGACTAAGGGGCCAGGGAATTTCTTACCCAAAAAAATCAATTTCGGCTTGATATAGTCTTAATTGCCGCTCTGTCATGGGGTCAGGTTTGCTTCCTACTGTAGCCCCTTCCTAGCCAGCTTTATTTAACCAGCTTCTTGCTATTGTAAAGGACTTTGCAGTACCCTCAGTCTCTCATCTTTCTTTCTCCTGGCATGCTATATGGGTGCCTTTTGATTCTTTCCTACAGCTGACAAGTTTGTTATGGAGTACTGGGAGGTGTTGGCCTGTGAGAGATGGGAAAGGGACAGTAGATATTTTAGGAACCATTTTGAACCCAGGATCTGTTTCATGATTGCCTGGAATTATGAGAAGTCAATTTGGTCACCTGGGTGGTCTCTTCATTTGATGGGACTTCTTCTGAAACTTCTCCAAGCTAGGAAAACAACACATCTTAGTGTGGTATCAGAGGAAATTAAATAAATCTGTTCCACATTGCACAGTAGATCAAATATGGATCAAGGACAGTTACCATAGTTAACTTCGGCTGTGTGGTGCATGGTGGGCACTTTCAGGGTCGAGCCCTCTGGTGTGGTGAAAGGCAACATCTGGGAATCCATAAAGGAAAACTTTTTTTGCCACATGCTTCTGAAGTACAGGGTGCTCACCAGGGTGACCTGGCTGAACGATGACCCAGTGCTCTCCAAGGTCATCCCACGCACATCCCCATCTGCGTGGAAAAAAGAGACAAGGGAGGGGAACACATGCAGTCCTACATGCCTAAAGGCCAGGTCCATGTGACTAAATAGAGCAAGCTGAGACCACTCTCCATCCCTAAGGCCAAGAGGTACAAAGCACAAGGCACTGCTCACCCTCTACCTTCCCCTCTCCACCTACACATGGACCTCACTGGGGTTGCCTGCTGGTCCATGCTCTCCCCAGTCCTGAGGTTGAGCTGGTCAGTGTTTTTATACCCCGTTTTGACTTTTTAAACTCAGAGTCTGACTGCTGAACTTATGACTCTTTGTGTCCCCCACAGCACCCTGAAAGCATTTAGGGCCATGAATACAGTCAAAGGGGAATTTGGCTGTTCCTAATCAAAACTGGAAACACTGCAAAGGATTGCCTTCTTAAAAATTAAGTGAACAAGACTGAGTGGTGACCAGCTTGACACTGCTTACAGATTCAGACCTATTCCAGCTCTTTCTTCACATTACAAATGAATGCTAACACAAGAATTAGGCTTTCTGGCCTTCAGCCTTGGTTTGGGCAACATGGAGTGTGGCAAAATATTTTATGCTTGGTTAAATACAATTTCTCCCATTACTCTTATTTTACATTTCATTCATGTGCAACCATTCTAGTGGGCCCCTACTGTACCTGCAAGGTCAGTGGTGATCCATCCCTGTATGTGGGTGGTGTTGGGGTCAGTGAGGTTGGTTTGCAGCAGGCTGCTGTTGGCCCAGCGCGCGGCACGCTCTGCAAAGTCGGGCAAGAGCTGCACGCCCGCGTCCACAAAGAGGGAACATCCCAGCTGGACCACTGTGCCTTGGCTGGAGTCAGTCACTGCTTGGTCCACCGTGTGCATGAAATCCTGCACGCTTTGATCTGCCAGGCAAGAGACAAGCTGCAGTTGTTGTGCTGGGATGAAGGATAGCACAGATTGCCCCAGGGTTCCGTAGCTCTTAGCTCCAGTGCTGACACTGGTGTCCTCTGACTGTTAAAGCCCTATAACAACTGGAGCACCCTTGACTTTACAGAGTTTTACTGTCAAGTACTGCTGCCACGGGCAGTTGAAAAGCTCCCTTCATGTGTCTGCAGAAATCACTCTGGTGCAGATGTGTCAAGAGGCTGATCTCATGGCAGGCTCGCAGCTCTATGCAGGCACAGCTCTTAACAGTTCATAAGGTAATTATTCTTTCTTGGGCACGCTCTGACTTCCCATCAGTGAGGTCTAGTGCCTCTGGCCATGGCTGGCTGAGCTGCCAATGCCAAAACACCGCTGTCTCCTTCTCCTGATGTTATCCATCTATCCCAGGAAAGGCATTTCCCTGATGGCCCCTCTGCCACCCTTGCCCTTCAGGTGTTGCTTGATTTCTTGAAGGATGGTGTCCCAAACTGGCTCATTATTGCTGATGAGCCCTGGCAATCCTAAACTGAGCTGATAGGTTGCTTCACGTGTTACAAGTGACCCCTTTATTTATATGGTCCACAGCAGTAAGCTTTTATTTATTTTTTTTTTTTTAAATGCCGTGGTCTGAGGTATAAAGTATTATTCTTGTGTACTTTGCATTACTATGGGAGTACTTGGTGAGCTCTCTGGAAGATGCGAGAAGTCAAAAAATTAGAAGCACAGATAAATGTGAGGAGTGGTATCCTAAGCTTGTGACTTCACCAAAGTGCTTAGATAACCAAAGTCCTGAACTCTTACTTGGACTACAGCTCAAAATGCCTTTAATAAAACCACAAGGTGAAGTAATATTAAAGCATGTCATTTTGTCTGTGCTGTCTAGAGATACATCCCATTATTCATTGTTTTTGTTAGTCCTAGAATAAAGGTGAACAAATTTTCCAAATGTTGAAAGAAGTTTACAAGTGCATGTAAGAGCAGATTCTCTGTGGGCAGTGAATAAAACACCAATGTTTCAATTGTTTTCAGCCTGCTAAGGTTTTAACCATATCCTTCATTATTGTTTAGGGTAGACCAACAGAAACATCAATGCAAACATCCACTGGAAGAAAGAAATTTTATCATACAACAATACATATACAATTTGGGTTTATTTATGTTATAAGGAATTTTTATCTAAGTATTTAATTCTTTATTTGATTTAGACTATTTGGGGAAGTGGTTTCCTTCCCTGTTACTGGAAATACGCTGTATACCAATAACAATAGATCCCATCCTACTTTATTTTCACATTCATGCATTAATATTACTGAAAGCCAAAGTTTATGTGGTTTATGCCACAGCTAAAATGGAGATATAATGTCTGCTTGCTCTGATGTGCCACATGAGAAGAGAGCATAAAAGAGCTAGCAGGTCATTAGCACCCCCTGCTCTTCCCTGTTATATTTTCTGTGGAGATCTGTGCTTGAATTTCACTTTGAAATGTTATTCTGCAAGGTCCTTTCATAATAATTGAGCCCCTAATGACCAGAAGTGTCAAGCAAGGTATAATCCTTGTGTGAAATAATGTTGTTTAGGAACTGAATTTGCGGAAATAGGAGTCCTGTAGGCAAGACTTCATTGTATCAGCTGCTCATAATTTAGATGCACTGTCCCTGTGTCACTACATGTATCTGTATAGATCAGCCAGAGTTAGCTCTTACTGCTGTGGTGGGGTTGAATATCAATGCTGTACAGAACGGTGGTGCTGACTGAGGCTGGTTACACCACGGGACAGTGAAATTGCTGTGGGTTTTAGTCTTCATACCCTGAAGGTAAATTTTATGCTGAGAAATAGCAGTGTTATCTCTATACATAAGTATTGTATGTAAGCTGCAAATTATGAAGATGAGGCAGTCGTCTGCTTTTCATAAACATTCTGCCCATAATGTAAAATAGTTTTTGACATGTGATTTGAGATGGTAGGATAATCCAGAGCTAAAATGAAAACAGCACCCTTAAATTCAGCTGACTTAATGCTGGATTTAAAGACATCTGTCTTTCCCATATCCCTTCCAAATTCCCATTGAGTTTTATATTTTAGCCTGCTTTCAGATGCAATTGCACCATCCATCTGTCAATGTATATCTCTGTCTGCCAGTCTCCTTCTGATAAATTTTCATCTTTTAGGCCAGTTGTAATAGCATTAGAAAAGTCTTAAAGATAATTCAGCTTCTGCAGGTTTCATAAAATTTGTTAGTGGGAGAGGAGAGAAAACAAGTGTTCTCTGCCTAGCAGTTCTTTGCAGAGCACACAAAGGAGACCAGGACCCAGTGGACACGATGGACCTCTGAAAAACCTGGAGCAATTCTGCTGTTCATGGAAGTAGCTTTTCTAGATCTATTTGTGTCATAAGAGAGCAAGTACTGATTCAGAAAAAAGAGGAATTGACCTGTGTGTCAGCTACTCCCTTAGAGTTTCCTTTGTCCACCTGATACCTGGCTGTCAAAGATGGAGAAAACTACATCTTGCAGTGAGAAATCAGAAGTTTAGTACGATGTGTACAATTCCTGACACCAGTAAAGCTGTGAATTTATTACAAAATATAAGACAGTAAGTATCTTTTTAAAGTACATTACCATGAATACTGTATCCTAGGGCATCTTGTAGCTCAGTAAAGGTATTTCCTTGAGCTCCAAATTGCAGCAGCTCCAAAGAAACAGCCACACTTGCTGGAGAGACTACCAGATTGGTGCTGTTCTCTGCTTCAGACATGTGCCGGTAGAGAGTGATGGCAAATTCAGTCTTCAGCTCTTTCAGCTCATCATAGGAGATGCAGTTCCCTTTGGTTAAGCAGCAAGCAGACAGGATAAATGCAGAGAATAAAATGGGCAACATGAAGAAAGCCGGGAACAGTCTCCTCCAGCTAATACCTGCAATTAATGACACGGATATCAGTGATAGGCTGAGCTGGCAGAGGAACTTTCCATCCGTGTTCAGATATCACTTGCAATAGTAATGACCTCCATCAAGATACTTGTCTAGGTCTATTCAGTAGCTACTGTCATTTAAAAAAAATTAAACTATTACTATTACTAGTAGTACTATTATTATTAATAATAATCATCATCATTATCATCATCTATGTATGGACATGCTGACGACTCTGTTGGCTAATAAGAACTGAATTTTCCAGAATGTTGTAGCATGTAAGATGGATGGCCACTACAGAGTGTGGAGCCACACAGTCTCTTGGTTAAAAATTAGCTACCTGCACACATGATGGGACATCCCAGTGAAGTCTCCATGCTGCTGAGCACCCACAGTTCCATTCTGTCCCCAGCAGAAAGGGGGTCACCCCTCATGAGGTGCAGAAATCTAATTGGAGTCTCCAGGCTGGGCTTTGGATCCAAGTTTTGAAAAGGCTGGCTTCATATTTCCCCCCCAGATATTCCTTCTATGAAATTTTTGCCAGGAGAAGAAAAGGTTATATTTGCAAAAGGCTCCAATGCTTGCAGCACAAAATCACCACATCGGATTTTTGTGGGAAATCAAGCATTGGTCAATGTTATATTCAGAGATACTTAGATTCACATTTAAAGGAATAATACTAAAATGAGAGAATACAGACCTTTTGAAGATTGTATACAAGTATATTTTAAAGATTACTGCACCTTCTTTCATCTCAGGATTTCCTACAAATCTTTCTCAATGCCCTTTGCTCTAGAGAGCACCTCTAATGCTTCATATTTACTCACAGTTAGCTCTGTTAAATTGTCTTGCCTTTCTGTGTCCTTCTGGATGCCTGAATGAAAGCTGCCTATGAACGTCTTGTCTCCTTCTTTAATAGGTAGTGGAGCAAAGACTAAGTCATGAGACTGCATTTAAAGGGATAGTCAGTGATCAGAGTCTCTGTCGGCGATGTCTGTACCACTCTGTCCAAATTCCTGTAGGCTACAAGCTCTATGGAGAGCCAGGCAAAGCAGCATGCCACTGACCAGCAAATCCAAGGCAAGGAACAAAAAGGTACACATGGAGATAGAGTCAGCAACTTCCTTGCAAGCCCTGCTCGAGCCTCATGAGACTTGTGACCTGCTGGTACTGAGCAAGGCATCTCCTATCTCTCTTCCCACCCCCCTCCTTCTTTTATATGAATTCCATTGATTCCTCTGCCACAAAGGGGAAGAGAAAGGGCTCTCTGTGTACCAGGCACACAGCTATTTTTTTACCCCCACGTTGAAACCTTATTCAGAAATCCCATGCAATTATAATGTCTTTATTTCCCTTTCTTTTTTAATTAATGCCATCCAAAATAGCAAGATTTTCTTTCACTCTTTAGTTTCCAGAAGGAAAGAAACAACAAAGTGCTGTGCTTGAAGGAGAGCAAATGAAGAATGGACTTTGAATGGACCAGAAGCAGAAGAACTGTGGTTGTGACTGCTTTAAAAGCAGTTGCAGCAGTTCATGGTTTTCTTTGTGTGATGGGATCAAATCCTGCCTATCATATTCACGGGTTCAACCTCACGGCCTCAGAACATCGCCTAAGACAACCAAGATTTGGCTTAAAAATTAATGTAAAACTGCAGTTTATTAGTCTTCCCAGAGTTTGATGTTATGCACTTGCCTATTTCACAAGATACATTCTTGTTGCACCTGGGAAAGAAGACAGTGGGGGAAAAGGGCACTACAATCAAGCAATAATTTAGGTTCTCCTGTTTCACTCTTAGCGGGGAAGGCACAGCCACACAATGGAATGAGGGCCCGAGTGAGAATGAAGCAATGGGCCTCCCTTACTCTGTTCTTGTGCTGTTCCTCTCTTCCTGCTGTTTGGAGAATATGCCAGAATAAATGCAGACACTGGGGTCTGTTTCAGGATCCTGGTATTTAGAGTGCATTCCTGCAAGGACTGATGAAGCGCAAGAGCTTGGTCAGTCACAGCCTAATACAACAGGCAGAAATGTCATTTTCCCACAGATTTCAATGGCAGTATCTTCAGGCTAAAAATTACATTTGAGCTTAAGGGTTTGGCTGAATGAGGACCTCTCTGCTGAAGTTATCATTAACAGTTTCCACTGGAGTGGATCTGTATTCAGAGGGAATGAACAGAGGCCACCAAGTGATTTCTTGAAGGGCTCAGAGCTGTCAATAAGTAAATTAGCTCTGGTCACTGGTGAGGACTGTACACTGGATTTGATGTGGTGTTCCCAAAGGCTCTGGACCTGAAAAGACATTTCTTCTGTGCCCTTCTTGACACCCTCCTGTGGATTTATTATGATTTAAATGAAAGGTGGGGAACCCCTGAAGGTTTTAGGCATTACTGTCTAAAAATAACATTCAATCCCCACTTTGCAAAAATGTTGCTATTCAGATTTGGGGTATGTATTTATGGAAGACATAATTGAAAACTAGACCTGGTAAAAATATTGTGGAAGACAGCATAGTTTCAGTGGGAAAGGGAAAAAGGTGTTCTGGGTCTTATCACAAGGAAGATTTAAAAATTGGAGTGTTTGTTTCAAATCTTCCTTCTCTGCAACTCCTAGGAAAGGAAAGCTGTGGAGGAATCTTTGCATCAAAAACAGTGTTTGCAGACAAGCAGCAAGGACTTAAGAAAACTAAAACTGGATCAACATTGTTCAAAGCAACCATGGGGTATAAGAAATGTGTTTTACATATAATGAATAGGAAAAAAATCCACCGGTGAATGGTGAGAAAGATAGGAGACAGTGGAGTAAGAAAGAAGTAAGAGTCAGTGAAACTAGCTGTGGCTAAAAAATAAGTGTAGAAGCCTTGGGGAAGGTTATGAACATGTATCATAGTCAAGGTCAGAAATAAAATTCTCATGCCTGTTCAGTTTAGCAGCCTAAGTTCAAAGTTTCTCTGCACCAGACTGGGATCTGCAATTGAGAACTGAGTGTCCAAGGAGAAGCCAGTGCCACGTCAGGGTGAGTCTGAAAACTGAGATTGCCAAGTGAGCCCAGGCAGCCAGAAACTGAGCTGTCCAAATCAGGATAGTTCAGGGGGGGCTGCAAATTAATTAGGCCAATTACAGAAATTCCAGCTCAGAAACAGAGGGGTCTTGGACCTACTGAAGTGTTAGAGTTGGGCTGCTGTGTAGAAAGGGAGTTTCTGTCTCCTTTAAAGGACTTTTTTTTAGAGCCTTCATACCTGCCTGTGTCCTAGTTTAGGCATCACAGCTTTCTTTGAGGCTTAATCTGGCTCTGCATCACAAGGTACTGAGGGAGGTACTGATAAACATTCTGGCAATAATTTTGTTCTTAGGATGCTGAAAACGTGTTTTAAAAGGCATGCAATTGACTGGTCCCCAAGATAACACTTCGAAGTCAGGAAGGGGCAGAGGTAGCATCTGTATTTTGAGAAGTGCTTCTTCACATTGAGATAACTTAGACTGACTGTGAGGGAAGTGAGGAAAGAAACCCAGGATGTCTGGAGAAAACACAGCACAGGAGTGTGTGGGTGGCATTCTGGAGCACAGAGCACTGTGTCTCTGTGGAGCTCCTCTAAGCTTCTACAGGAGCAGCTCTGAGCCTTCACAGGGAGACCAACCTCTTTGTTCCCTCACTAAGCAGAGAAAACCACCAGTCTTTGAGAAGGAAGACAGCACAGGGCTTCCTTAGTGTGGGCACCTCCCCACACAGGGAGCCAAGCTGGTGGAAAGCACTGGAAAGAAGCCATAAGTGATGGCTGCTTTCCATGATGGGTTAGATCATGTCTGTGCCTGCAGTGTGCCAGTGCTGTTACTGCACAGCCCCTCAGTGTTCCCCTGTGTGACCATGGTGCTGGGCAAGGGGACAGGCTGCTGAAGCATCCCCTGCTGCTCAGCACTGACAGATGCCATCACAGGCGGCTTTGCAATGTCTGGTGTGAAAAATGTGCAGAAGTGGAAAAGAAAAATGAGGGAAAAAAAACCAGAGACAGCTGTTCTCCAGAATTACATCTTCAAGGTCTTCAGTGGTCCAGATTCTGCTCTTAGGTACAGGAGTGAATGCCAGCCCTGGACACAAACCTGGGTCCTCGAGCAAATTAAGAGCTGCTGGGGAACTATGGGCTGGGAGACTCCTCTGGGAGACAGGCTGCTCCATGACTGTGGAAAACAGACTCAGGGTCCAGCCTCCACAGTGGTGGCAATAGGAAGGAAGGTCAGGAACTTGTTAACCCTGGAAGCATCCAGAAGTCACAGGACTGAAATGAGAAACCAGAGGGAAAGGCACAGCTTGCATAGGCAGTATGGGCAAAGCAAGATTTCTTTGGAAACCTTTCCCCACAAACAATTTTTTTCTCACAGGAGACTGGAGTTTCCTCTGATTTATCAGTGTTCTAAGAAAACTGAGCCCTAGTTTGGTGTGGCTGCTGAGAGGAAAGGGAGAGTTGTTCTGCTTTGGGCTCTGGCCAGTTTGCTTCAGTTACATTCACTTTACACAGTGATCTGGACCAGAATTTGGCCCAGAGAAAGGCTGGAAGAGAAAAAGATGAGAGAACCAGTAGGAAGCAAGTTTTCCTCTTCAGAACTCTCTTGTTAGCTTTTTTGTGTCAGGTCAGTCTCCTGCAGTCTTCCTTCCACTCTAGCACAACCCCATTATCAGCAAGGCTACTGCACATTTACTCCTTCACAAATGAGAGCAGAATTTAATCTTCTATCTGCATCTGACTTTTGTGTGCCAGCTCTCCTTAACATATAGAATAACCCTAGGGAAATTAAATTGGATCCAAACCAGCTTCCTTCCTGCTTACATCTCTCCTCCAGGAGTGAGCCTGCACTGCAAGATGCCAGCACATTTGCTCAGTCAGGAAGGTGGTTCTGCTGAATCTCAGGATCAGAAAAATTGGCATCATCGTTTCATACAGAGCTTATTCTGTGGGAGGACAGATGGCTGTGGAGCCACAAAACACCCAGATGAGCAAATTCAAGTGAATTTGTTTACTGCTATCCCCATGCCATGTAAAAACCAACAGTGCCTCTGCCTCCCACCGGGGTGTGAGGCAAAATCTGTCTCTTCAAAGGGGGACCACTTTAGAGGGTTGCTTCCAAAGAGGAAATCTATCTGCTCAGCGAGGTGTCATGGTTTGAGCAGATGAGCTTGGTGCCAGCCTGGACCTTCTGGGGAAGTCATACAGTGTAGAATCCCACAATGAGATCCATTCTGCTGGAGCCCCCAAGATCACTTCACTCACACCTGCCTGGCCTGCTCCAGGTGGAAAGAAGTGCTTTTAGCAGCAATGAAGGCTTTTTGGCAGCTCCACAGGAGCAGGTAGTCTCCCTGCCCATGGCTGCAGGCTGGGTAGCAGAGGAGCAGTGGAACAGGCTGGCTATAACCAAACTGAGCAGCACTTGGCTCCCAGTTCTCTTCAGCCCCTGTGGATCTAAAACATGAACATAACATTTTGAAGGGTTCATTTTCCTCTATCTCTAATACTCCAAGTGGAATAACAGAGTAGTGGTTTCACAGCACCACCACCACCCTGGGAATCAGTGTTTCCTGCTCTGAGAGATGCCCCAAGGGCACCCTTGGAGGCTGGGTTGGCAATGGAGGACTGTGTGGGATCCAAGGTTGGGCCAGGCTATGCCACAGGAGCTTTTGAGTTGAGTCTGGAAATAAATGAGACCTGCCAGGGGCAGTTTTGAAGCTAGTGACAGCAACCAAAAACTTAACCAAGCAGTAAGTTAATAAATGGTGTGAGAAATTGGTGCTGGGTTTAAGTTCAGGTCTGGAGGTTAGGTTAGGTGTTTCTGATGTGTTATGTGATATCTTCTACAGTGAGATGAATGGTGCCTTTCTCCAGTGTGAAGCAAAGCGAAGCAAACATGAGTTCCACTTCCACTGGATGAGGGTAATGCCATAACACTGATGAAGTGACAGGTGTTTCCACACACAGAAGGGTAGGCTGAATAAGAGCCCAAATCAAGCAGTTTTCTGACAGTGACTGTTCTCATTATGTTTTTTTTAATAGACAAAATTCAAAAGGGCTGAGAAATGAATAAGACCACTTCTTATTTTTTTTCAGGGTGATGACATTTATTTGAATAAAAAGAAAAAAGGAAGAAAAGCTGATTGAGGAAAGACTAAGGATTTTTGACATCCTTGTTGTAAAGCAATAGTTGTCCTATGCCTGTCTCATAGGGAAGACAGCTTAAGGAACACCAGGAAAATGATGCCTGAAGTCTAAAGAGAAAATCTCACTGTGTTTATATTTTCTGCAGTGTTGAATGAAGATCTTAGCAGTAAAGCCTCTTCCCTGTGGACTCTGAATGTATAAGAGCCCATCCCTGTGCACAGCTGACCTGTGAGGGCTGCTGTCACAGATCAGCTGCTTGGCTGACTTCAGTGGCTCAGAGGTGCTGCATCAGCACATTCAGAGTTGACTTGTCAGTCTGTGAAATGCCTCCTCTGCCCCCAGACATCACCCTTTTGGTATCTGCAGATTTAAAATGTTTCTGAGACAGAGTCAGTACCCTGCATGGGGCCTGGTGGAGATTCACACTCAGACAAGACCTGCCAGTGAGCCAAAGCAGGGAAGGAGAGCAGCACTGTGGCACCATATTTTCCTCCCAGACAACTCCGTGAACCGACAAATTAAATGCATTTGCTGTTGACATGGAATACCAAGTAAGTTAAAAGCTGATACCCCCAAATGCTTGTCTAACTGTCTGTCACAGTTTCTTACAGTGCCAAGAGAATGATGCCAAGTAAATGACATAGGAAGAGGTCCTCATATGAGCACACTGCCAGCTGAAGTTTCTGCTGCTGATCTGACTGCAATGACAGGGAACCAAACAGAAGACGAAAACATAAACACATTTATGAAGCTGCAGTTCTGACTTTCTGTAAGAAGTCTGTTTTTCAGAAAGAGAGGTGTGGTTGAGTAGGCATGATAGTTGAGATGAAAAGGGAACTTATAGAGTGAATAACGTGGAAGAACATGGTTTTGCATAGGCCATCCCAGCTTGTGATGTGCCCCCAAGCTGGGAAGAGAAGCACAGTTTTGTGTGTTTGCACATGTTGCACGTACTTCCTCCTGCATGCACTTCACCCAAACTAAGCAAACCCTCCTACCCAGGCAGTCCCACTCTTGCAGTGCCAGCCTGTGTGGTGAAATGGTCCTGCTCCACCAAGACAGGTGGAGGAGAAAGGGTGGGTGGGTGTTTCCACGTCCCTCTGCTAGCAGGGCAAAACAAAAAGCCTTTGTTCTTTGGGAGCTGATCTGCTCTCACAGCTTCAGGTTATAATCCCTTTTGGTGACATCACAGGTACTGCTGAGGCCGCCAAGGTGATGTCACAATGAGAAGCTTATGACTGTAAATGGGGAGTAAGTCACAAGAGCACATGACCTCAAAATAAGCTAATATCCTGTTATTATGTAAGTGTTCCAAATACTTCAATAAATGTGCCAGTAACAAAAAATAAGAAAGAAAAAAGGCCCAATGGTCTATCAAGGTATGTGAAGATGTGTGTAAAGTTGACATTTCTCACAGACCCACACATCCTCTATTAGTGTCTCTTGCTTCTAAAAATCTTCCCACTATCAGCTCAGTTTTTACAATCAGCCTCAGGATCTTTCCTTATTTCAAGAGAAAAGCACAAAAGTTCTCCATATTTTGACATGTCCAAAAATCACATACATGCTTAGTCATAGCAAAGCATCTCACCCAAATGTAATCTGCACCTTAATGTCATGAATGTGTTAAGGAATTTGATCATATAGGAATATGGAAATGTGTCTTTCCTGTGAAGCCCTCTGGGCTCCATAGGGAGTACCATAGAATTGGTGTATATCTGAAACTATCTAATTATTATCTTCTCTATTCTTATGATAAATAGGAATTAATAAAATTGAAAACATTGTACAAATGTATCACAGAAAAGCTTTATTGCAGCTATAAAAATGATACTTTATATGCTGAGCTAAATTCTTTGAAGTTGGAAATAATGTTCAGAATCTCTAAGGCACTTTTGTGTAGATGTCTCCACTGTTCTGCAGGTTTATTATTTTCCATGGTCAAGTATTTATTGCATTTTATCCTGGGAAATTTTTAATGGATTCTTTTGCTTTGACAGGATAAGAAGCACATTTAAATGCCTCTAGGGGTAAATTATTTCACATCAACACTTTCAAGCACAAAGTCTGGATCTTCAGTAGGTTTTTACATTATGCAAGTAGACATTTAAGGTACTTAATACTTTCTAACCTCTAGTGCCCTTTTTACACAGAGACAGGCAGTCAGCAGGGATTAATCTGATCCTAATTAACCACAAACTCTTCTGATACTTGGTCAGTGCACAGTAGCATGCTGCCAGGTACACAGAGGTAAACTGATCTGGATTATCTGCCGGTGTATGTGCTTCACGGAGGGAGGTCTGCGCTCGGTGCTGTGGGTGAGCTATGGGCAGATACAGCTTCAAACTTGCAGTGGGGAGGCTGCTGGGCAAAGCTGCAGCTGCAAGGAAAGGGGAAAGCACTAATTAGAAGGCCTCTTCTTAATGGCTTTCTATTGAGATTTCACTGTCAGAGATGGCATTTGTTGGTGTGGCACCCTCCCAGACGAGATCCCTGTTCTCCGCCCTCTCCCGATGCAGGTGTTGCAAGCAGAACAGAGGCTCCTGACAAAGTTTATTAGAGAAGTGCTCTCACTGAGTCATGAGGTGCATAAAGAACCCCCCTGCTTTCTAAACTTCTCCTCAGAGAAATCTAGGTGCAGATGGATCCAGTCTTTGCCCAAGACTTTATGTTGAAGAGATTACATTCCTGTAATTGAATCTTTGTGCGAATTTGGACCGCAAGATTAAGAAAGGAAAACCAAATATATTTATATGAATAAAGTAGATTATTTATTTTATTGATGGTGATAATTATAATGATTAAACTAAAATACCTTAATCAGAATGATTTACTGCACAGTACAGATAGTTATAACTATTAGTGCAGTGCACTATTTATTGAAGCAATATTGAAACAGCAATATTAAAGCTGGCAAAACAATTAAGTAGAGACTGATGTTATTCAGCCATACCAACAACTGTGGGCAAATCTATTCTGCTCAGCCTTGAGGGGAGTGAAGGGAGGAGTCTCCACACACACTCCTAGAAGAGGTATATTAGATGTGCTTGCCATTAAAATGTGGGATTTCATTCCCATGGGAACAGTTGCCCCCTCTGTGTCACTGGTGTTGGGATGTGATAGTGCTCCACCCTGCTGGGGTTGATCCCCATTAAGTTGTTGCCTCAGCAGAGAAAACTGGGGACAAGAGGTGGCAGGGAAACCTTGCTGCAGAGCCAAAATAATTCCTGCCCAGTGTTAATGCTGAGTGCTAATAGCTCTGGCTCTTGATCTCCCTACCAGTGGCATGGCCAGCCCAGCACTTGAATAGGAATCCAAGATACTAAACAAAAATTTTTCCAGGAAGGACAGAACAGGACTTGCAGTCTGCAGGCTCTCCGCAGACCCTCAGATCTGCAGGACCACAGCTTTTGAAACGTGTTATTTGTGATGGTCACCCAGGCCTTGCGTATCAGATCAAGGCAGGCTGATAGAATGACCCTTACACCTCAGGGAAACAGCTTTAAAATTGAATTTTTTATTCTGTGTTATTGCAAATGTTCATACAGATGTCAAGAACAAGGAAGTAGCAGAACAAAGGGGAGAAGAATGTCCCAGAAATGGGAACCTGAAAAGTTAACTTGCTGATCCTGATGGAGCTAAACATAAGACAAATTCACAAAGAAGCTACATGTAATTTCTTCAGTTAAAGTGGTGACCAGGGCACCTGCAGTCCTCTGAGAATGGTGGGATTCACTGCTTGGGGATTATCTTTGTTCAGTCTGCTCCAAAGAGTAGAGCCAAAAGCTAGCTCAGGCCATGGGAGGAGGCAAGCACATAACCACATGAACAAGTATTGGCTTCCAGTGTAGTTTGTTTGCTTTCCAAGCTTGTTCTTCTCTTTTTCCCCTCAACTCTGAAACATTCCTCTCTAAGGCATGGTAGTTCTTGGAGATCAAGAGAGTTAAAATAATTCCCAGAGAGGCAGTGATTTTGGGAAGCTGACATCTCTTCCATCAGTGTGTTGTCTGACTGGTATCTACCCTTTAGCTCCTTCTGACAGAGCTGGAACCAGGCAGGAAAGCTGAGCTTTCAGGGTTGTAATGTAGAGCCAGTTCCTACAGAAAACAAGCACTGCTTTCTCCTCCTTTAAGCAGAAATCTGCTGGAATAGGCACCTAATAAAATAACATTGTTTTGTTTATGTTACTCTGTGGTAAGCAGAATTATATTAGAACTATGCTTGGTGACACAAGGTTATTCTCAATTTTTCCTTGGGAAGCCTGGGACACCTCATGGTTGAAGGTCTTATGTGAAGCCACACAGAAGGCATGCACCATTCACTACAGGATGGCTGCTGATCTTTTTTATGGAGCTGTTCTCTGTGCACTTTTGTCCAGAGATACCTTTCAAGCACGGTTGTATTCCCATCCCCTGAGATTGTATGTTTGGAAACAGTAAATCTGTTTTCTGGAATAAAACAAAATTAAACTGTTAAACAATCTTGTTTCATCAGATACACTATTTGTAATAGAGAAGAAAAAGTGTTAAAAAGCTAATTGGTCTGGTGAGGGTTGATTCTTCGAGGGCACGACAATGCACTGATTCTGCTTGAGATGTGGCACAGCACATATGATCTCTGCATGACTGTTGTAATTAAATGTAAGACATTCATTTCTTAATGCTTTCCCCCCCTCCCCCATGCTTAATGTCTATTTGCTGCTGCTTGGTCGCGTAACAACTCTATTAATTAGGAAAAAGTGTCAAAGGACCAGCTAATGAATGAATGAATGAATGAATGAATGAATGAATCCTGAATTGAGAAATTTTTCTTTTTTCATGTCTCCTTTGTTTTAGAAATAGAACAGCTACAGCCTTCTTTAAATGCTCTTGTCAAATATGGGGATGTTTAATGTTGCAGTTCCTTGGAAAATAAGACTCTTTACTTCAGCATTTCAAGAAGAGAAAAAATACACATAGATTGTTTGAGGGAAAAAAGAAAGCACTAGCAGTTGTCACAGTGTCAAAATTAATTATTTTGGGTTGATCCATTTGCCTTGATCTTTATGACCCTCAAGGATTTCAAATACTTCCCAGTCAATCATTTAAATTCCTCAGCTAAACCCCATACCTCATTAAATAAAGAAATAAGGGGGCGTCTTGATATGCTTTTCTTTAGGCCTGTCACTCCAGAGTCTGAAAATACAGATCATGGCATCTTAAAGTATTCTCAGTTTTCTTTCCAAATAGCAAAAAAAAAAAAAAAAGTTTCTCTATACAGTTCATCACATTCTCTTCAGTGACACTTTTTGGCTGCAACTACTTAGGACTAACTGCACATACAACCTTCAGTGGTAAGAAGAGACACCAAATTTACTGGTGACCATGCTGATGTCACCAAAAAACAAAGGATTGCTGGGTGATAGGCAAAGGGAAGAAAAGGAAGGGTATACTTAGAAAATATATATAGAAAAACTTAAGATGTGTGTGAACATTTTTGGATGTGTATTGACTTCTTAAAGACTGAAGTCTGATGGAAATATTGCAGAGTGGGGAGAGGACTCAAAGTATCATGGGATAGTGTATACTATATACAGTGCACAGAGGCTGTGCCTTTTCAGTGTTCCAGCTATGCAGATTCATTTCACATGCATCATCTATTTAATCCCATCATACACCCCTTTTGATACATAAAAGCCAACTTTGCCTTGATCTGTACTTTCCCATGAAAAATAATTTCTCATCTGAGAGTTCAGCCTACTTTTGTTCCTGCTTCTTTAAGATGGCATAGCTGGTTCATTTCCCATTTTCAGTTTTTCACCTTTCATCTGCTTTTCTCATTCTCTCGTGATGTGGCAAGAAATACAAACCAGAATCTGGACCTGGAATGGTGCCACAGTGGAAGCTGAAATCAGAAGCAAATCAGAGCCATTTGTAAATCAAACCTGAAAAGTATTTTGCCACAATCTGTGTCTCACATTATTGTGCATTGTGATAGCTTAAAGTGGAAAGGCATCAAAGACTCAGGTTGTAAAAAGGCTCAGAGTGCTGGCATTGAAATTTAGTCCCCAGAGAGTCCGGATGTCTCAAGTTTCTCTCCTCCTAGCAGGTAAGACCACAGGTAGCGTGGTGGCCCTTGGCTAGATCTGATGAGTTGTCCCTGCCAATAGCCCCGCAGAGCAGCACTTAACTCCTCTGGTGTGTGTCACATCCCACACCTTCCAGTGGCCCATGGGGCTGTCCCTGCCACATGCACATACAGCTTGTGTGGAAACGTGCTAACCAAAGCTACACAATTTGCAAATCTGCTTTCTTGCCAACCTACTTGCCTCTCAGGCAGCACTTCCCAAGCTCTGGGATAAAAGTGTCCCCTTGGTGAATGTCAGTGGACATACCTTGAGCTGGCACAGCAGTTCCTGACCTCAGCCAGAGCAGCTGATGCCCTTCAGCAGGCCCTGCACTCTTGTACCTGTGGTTCTTGCCCCGTGTAAAATCCTGATTGCATGTGGCATCTCCAGTGAAGCTTCCTGGAAAAACAATGATTATTTCAGTGGAAAGCTGTTGCTCAGTCCTTGAGACTGCTGGTCCCCAGAGTCTAGTTCTGAAAACCAGCAATAAGAAGTAGGATTGACTGTTATTTTTATTACCTTTGTGAGAATTTTCTTATGCAATTTAATTTAATTTTATTTCATTTATATAAATTATTTTTCAAGGTAATATTTTTTTCATTTACCCAGAATCTTAACTCCTATATCACAGATTGCAGTATGCTGTCTGTACATATCATCCATCCATATCTTGTCTTCTTTTCTTTTTTTTTTTATGCCAGCCCTTACATGATTGCACATCATTTTCAGATTTCGCACTTCTGAAAGTCCATATGGTTGTCAAAGTCTTTTCTGATGCCACTTGTTTATGGCTTCAAAATAATCAACATAGATTCACACTTTTTTTTTTTTCTCTGTTCCTTCCCCCAGTCTTTTTTGTACACAACTCCAATCAGATTAATTCACTTTTTTCTCCAAATGATGCTGCCAAAGTTAACACATCAGCAGAGAAGAACTGGAACAAAAATATGTTCCATCTTGCTATGCTCTTCATTCATGTCAGGCTGCAATCTAGCTGTCACTCCAGAGAGCAGCCAATTTTTCTTTGGGCCATCTACCAAAAATGGCATCATCAGAAAATATTCTGGTGACCTGGCATGTCTGAGAGACAATGAGCCTCCACAGCAGAGAACAGAGCACACCACCATCTGCATCCCTGTGGTGCCGCTGAATGACTCCCAGGTACGCTGAAAGGAGAGTTTTGCCCCTTGCAGTCTGCTAGAGACAAGGTAAATACCAAATCCTGTGGATTTAGTGAGGAGATGCTAAAGAGAGGAGTGGGCAGGAAAGGAGAGGAGCCCTGGGTCCTGTCCTGCTTCTTTCTGGACAGAGCTGCAAGTGCAGCCTCAGACTTGAGATGAGTCTGAAGGGGGGAGACAAGGGCTGTGTCAGGGAGCAGGTGCAGCTGGCAGAATGGGAGCACATCCAGGCTCATGCTGGCCAAGGAGGAGATAGTGCTGTACTGTAAAAGAAAAGGGAAGCTGAAGGAAGGCAGGCAGGCAGGAAGGAAGGAAGGCAGGAAGGAAGGAAGGCAGGAAGGAAGGCAGGAAGGCCAGGGAAGAAGAGCATCTGTGGGGACAGGCAGCATAAATCCAAAAAGAACTCATCTGCACGGACAGTGGCTGGAAAAGCAAACCTGCCCGGAGCAAAGATTATCCTGGAAACCTGGAAAACACTGTGCATTTGGGCCCTGCTGGCAACCTGACAGCTTCAGCATCCTTATCCCCCAGGGTTGATGGCTTCCCTCCACATTCTCTATCTCATCTTAATCTCTCAAAGAGTGGGACATTGCAGAGCCCCACACGCCTGAAGCTGGTTCACCATCTGGGGCTAGAAAATTGGAGGAGGGTCACAGATGGTTCCCATCTTTCTGCTCCTCTCCTGCCCTCTGGCTTGTCCCAGCACTACCCTGACCTCATGGCCAGCTCTCTGGCAGCGGCAGACCTGGCAGTGGTTCTATCTGTTGCTGCTTCAGGCAGCCCCAGAAGTCCTTTCTTCAAAACTTCTGCAGAGTCTTTACACGTGTGGCAGGGTGGCAACCAGTATCCTCACGAATCCTATGGGAAAACCACAGGCCAATCAACTCTTGAAAGAAAGCAAGGCAGAAAAATGTCAGGGAGAGAAACCTGAAGGGTAGAGGCTGCATTTCTGTGGCTTTACATGGCATGACAGGGGAACACTGGCATCTAGTCAAATTCCATAAGCAGGGGCACTGAGTAATTAGTTAAAGCTTTGCTTTCTTGTGACAAATCCACCCCCCCCAAAAATAGGAAAAAGTGGGACTCATAACCATGTCATGGCAAACCGTGTGAAAAAACCCTCTTGCTCCTAATCACAGCCCAGTTTAAACAAAAATATGTCCATGCGACAGTACATGTGAGCTGCAAAAAATGGCTGTTAATTCATGGAAGCAAGAGGAATTATAAAATCGGTATTATGTGTTGCATTCTTAAGGAGTATCTGTTCCGGGCAGCCCTGTCCCCAGGTTCATTGCACCTAAGGAGCAGGAGCTCTCCAGCAGCACTGCTAACCTCACAAGAAGCATTGTCTTGGCAGGAGTTGGGTCATACTTAGCAGATTATCTCCGTACCAGGAGGGCTGAAATTTTCATCAAAGTAAACAGAGGAATTCGTGACAGGCAGCCGGCTTACCGAGCCGTGCTCAGGGGCTCGTTCACAGCGGATGCTCGGCTCCATCCCAAGAGCAGCCCCGTGGGCTGTGGCCGCTTCCTCGCCCTTGGCTCCGGCGCAGGGAAAGCACACGGCGGAGCCCTTCGGGTCACGGAGCCGCTCCCTGGGTGGCGCTGGAAGGCCGGCCAGAGAGGCAGAGCCGCGGGCCGGGAGCGCAGCACGGCCGCCGCCAGCAGCTCGGGCTGAAATACAGAGCACGGAGGCTGCGAGGCCAGCAGGGCACCGAGCCGGAGCCCGAGGTGCCCGCGGTGCCCCGCCGGGGCTGGCAGCTCGGCGCGCTGTCACCGTGCGCGCTGTCACCGCCGGGTGGCGCTGGGGGCGCGCCCGGGCC